ACTCACTGCCATCTCACAGTGGCATTATTGTTGTTTATGAAATTGAGAGGATGAAAATCCAATGTACGGCGCTTTAACCGGGTTGGTGGACACGGAATGTTCACCTAGGTGAGTTGGAAATCCCTGATTCCAAAGCAATGTAGTAGTATGAATGTAGTAGTAGTAGTAATAGTAGTAGTAGTAGTAGTAGTAGTAGTAGTAGTAGTAGTAGTAGTAGTAGTAGTAGTAGTAGTAGTAGTAGTAGTAGTAGTAGTAGTAGTAGTTGTTGTTGTTATTGTTGTTGTTGTTATTGTTGTTGTTGTTGTTGTTGTAGTAAAAACTTACTATTGTTGCAGACACTGTAATAGACTTTCTTTCATTCATGTTCTAAATTGAATGTACATGTATTGATTTGTGTGTTGTTGTTAATTTAGGAACATATGATATACAAATTTTTATTTTGTCTTACATTGTTCACACTCACTGATCTTGCACTTTTTTGTTTATTGTTTTATACTACTTATTTATATTCAGTAAGCAGTTGTATCCTTAACAATTTTCACATTTACATTGTAACGCAAGTTGTACTGTAACTGTTAAGTCGGCTTACAGTAAACTCTATCAGAGCGTCCAGGGGCTCATAAAGAGCCCAACCAATCAGCGATTAGTTAGAAGCTATGCTACTAAAATAACGAGGTCCTGATTGGCTGTTTAACATACTGCTACTATGGAAACTCAAGGTCTTTTATTTACTATAAAACCCCTGTTTTTCTGTACATAAATGAACCTTGTAGTAAAGTACTTCTCTCATACTCGTGTCTTCTCTCTGGTCTTCAAGTCGTTGAATAGTTCTAGCCTGGGGTTATCAGAATAGCTTAGGATCTGAATATAGCGTTCAACCTACTAGATATAACAATTGTCACATTTACATTGTAACGCAAGTTGTACTGTAACATTCGGAAACGTTCACATATATTTATAATGTTTATTGTACTTATCATTGTATTAGTCATTATAATCACTGTACTTTAATTACTGCAACGGTTATCCACAGTTGTGGATTTGTTTAAACGCAACAGTTCCCATATCGTTTGCTCTTGGTTGGAGTTTCGATTGTTCATAAACAGTTGTCCAATTTCGACACAGCTATCGGCTGTCCTTGTACTGTCGAAGCCTTTACTATTTTCATTCTTGAACGACGCGTTCAAACGCCTGGACACCTCACAAGTTGAGGTTTGTAATTAAATTTTGTGTTTTATTTAATGATAGAACCGCTTTTGTAGAAAAATCGTTGTTCTTGGAACTTCGATTTTGTGCGTATCTCAATCAGGTCACTTGGACGCATCGATAGACTGATCAACAATAAAAGTAATTTGGTCATTTCTTCAAATGAACAATTCCAACATATTCATGATCAGAACATAATTATTATTGAGTGATGATTGAATAGCAGCAGATGTTAGGATGGATGTCTTTTTGAATTGTAAAACTGCTGCTATGTAGTTGGAGACGAGAAGATTTTGAAGGCGATTCGGTGAGAGAGAGAGAGAGATAGACTATGATTTGTGGACGACCAAGTTTTGAGTGACGAGGCTAAAGTGACCATGAGAACAATGTCCACCTACATACTACGTCTAAATAAGGCTTATAAAGAAGTGTGAAGAATAGAATAAAGAGTATAATTTATAGTTGATGTTATCAGGTTTACCATTCACATTTATGGTTTTCATCACAAACTCACAGACATCCACACACACACACACACACCAGTTAGAATGGTCAAATGCTATTTAGACAAACAAGTGGGTGAAATTTGCGCCTTGAAATCCGAGACATGTTATCCTAAATCGGGTTGTTTCATCCATCCATAAATCATAGTGAGCCCTGGTACGGCTGAGAGTGGGGAGAGTCCTCTCTCCTTCTCCAAATGCTCTCACATGGCCACGCGTATATAGATAGCCTCTGTCAGGGAAGTCCTACTCACTGCCATCTCACAGTGGCATTATTGTTGTTTATCAAATTGAGAGGACGAAAATCCAATGTACGGCGCTTTAACCGGGTTGGTGGACACGGAATGTTCACCTAGGTGAGTTGGAAATCCCTGATTCCAAAGCAATGTTGCACATGGAGTGGCTGCAGTATCCAGTATGCTGAGGGAACAAATGGCGTGTGAATCAATGGTTGGTGACCGGCAACCATGGGACTGCATCTGCTCACGATGCTCCTGCACTACCCTGTGGATCACACGTCTAGGTGAAAGGCGGCTCCGGGTGTGACCCCCTAGGGAAACCACCTGTTTCGGTTCGGGCACCTGGACACTATCACAGCCCTCACACAAATCAAATGAGATTTCTGTTGTGCATATATATTTGGTGCCCCCTTGTACCAATTTTTATGTGTTTATGTGTTTAAGGAGGTAATTGTGTTGAATTAGGGAACAATGTATGATATAATAGCGTGTTTAGCATACGAAAGAACGATGTGTTTTGTGGTGTGCTACTGATACCCTCATCAGTAGTATGTATGATGAATGAAAATTGTGCAATGCTGTTGTCAGAGAGGATTCGAACCCATAACCTACGGCCTTGTGCCCGAATGCCAAGTCTCTACACCAATCAGCCAGTACCACTCACTCTTGCACATCTCAAAATACATATTCGAACTTTCATTCGATCATGCATCAATCAACCATTCAGCATTCTGCTTCGCTTACACATTATTCTCACTCACTAATCAAACTCAACTAACATGCATGTCCAACAACTGCACACCAAAACAACAACACCATCAAATTCAACTCAATTCATTATTCATCACCATTTATCTATCTATCTATCTATCTATCTAATCATAGAACAACAATTACCATTCAATTCGATCCAATTCAACTTCTTCATTCACATAATCAAGTGAGTAGTGGTAGTACTAGTAGTAGTAGTAGTAGTAGTAGTAGTAGTAGTAGTGGCAGTAGTAGTAATAGTAGTAGTAGTAGTAGTAGTAGTTGTTGTTGTTGTTGTTGTTGTTGTTGTTGTTGTTGTTGTTGTAGTAAAAACTTACTATTGTTGCAGACACTGTAATAGACTTTCTTTCATTCATGTTCTAAATTGAATGTACATGTATTGATTGTGTGTTGTTGTTAATTTAGGAAAATATGATATACAACTTTTTAGTTTGTCTTACATTGTTCCCACTCACTCTCCTTACACTTTTTTGTTTATTGTTTTATACTACTTATTTATATTCAGTAAGCAGTTGTATCCTTAACAATTTTCACATTTACATTGTACGCAAGTTGTACTGTAAACTTAATTTCAGAAGACGTTTAGATATTTTCCAAACCCGTATTGCATGTGAATAAGCCGAAGACGGAATTGAAGTGACTTTCGTACAATAAGGAAATCGAGCCATGATTTACTGTGTGAGATAACAGCAAATACAAAGCGCATAGTAAACAATAATTTAAATGGTAACCACCAATGTAACTAAAGTTTAGGTTTAGATAACGTGATCGTTTCGTAAAAAAAAGCATATTATCTAGCTCTAAGTGACATCAAGTACGACGAAGTGTCTCATTAAGACATGGACTAAGATTGCTCGTGTACATGAAATACGTTTTTTCGGAGTATGTTGACTTACAAGTCATAAATGTACATAGTTTCGACTAACATTTGACGGCAGTGACAGAATGTATGACTACTCTAAGTGAATGTAGCCGCGAAATGTTATTAGACATTATAAACATTATACGAAATTATTTAACACAGTTATGAAATTCGCCTGGGTTACTCTTGCTCCCAAGTAATTGAAATTTGTTTAATAAATTCGTAGATTAGCGAAACGTTGTAGACTGAATTGGTATACGTCCAAACTTAATTTGAGCCAAACACGTAGCATTGCCTGGCGAAACAGTCTAAACAAGATCTAACATTGCAGGAAATTTATAGTTCAAACTCACCGTAAATTTGTAGCATTCGTATCTTCTGATTCGCCATGGAACTCAGCAATTGGAAATTAGGCAGGCAGTGGTCAAGAAAGTAAAATATTCTAGTAAATAGTTTTTGATAGTAGTTAGTTGATAGTGATTAAGCAGAAAGATGAATTTATAATTGACAGTTAATCCTGTATTGGTTATACGAGTGGATAAGTTGCAAACAGATAAGCGTTCGTGTTACCTTGAGGCTATACTTACGAGTGGTTGATATTTTAACAGACATATTACACAGGAGCATTTACATGCAGCTAATGCTTGCTAAAGAACCACGAAAGTCGATTATAGTCGTAGTTGATTGGTTAGTTCTATCGATTGAACTAACTATTTCAGTTGAAATACTAATCAACATTGATATAAAGCAACGAATGTTCACAGAAACTGATAAATATAGCCGAAGTTAAAAATGAAAATAATAAGTATAAAATGCAATAAGAAAGATCATCAAGATAGGTTGCGTTATTCGAAGTCTTGCTCACCAGTGTAGGACCATCTACGTTGATGATCTATGTCAAAATGATTGGGGGCCTACTAGAGTTAGACGAGAATGGTGACGAACCAACTAACGCTGAAGTCACACCTCGCGACCAGCCCTTACGTGCATTGAACCATCGACGCATCAAAGGATAATGGATGCTATGGAGACTGTACAACACAAAGGATGTGATTACAAGAATATATTAGTTAAGGTACAACTATGGAAGCACAGAAGTGAAAGAATAACCAATGCAGCGTGGGCCAGTACATGGCGTACGATTGGTTTGTGTGCGTTGACTATCCTTGACCTTGACAAGGGTCAGTGATTTGTTCGATATTCAGTGACCCTACACAACCATTCAGCATTCTGCTTCGCTTACACATTATTCTCACTCACTAATCAAACTCAACTAACATGCATGTCCAACAACTGCACACCAAAACAACAACACCATCAAATTCAACTCAATTCATTGTTCATCACCATTCATCTATCTATCTATCTAATCATCGAACAACAATCACCATTCAATTCGATCCAATTCAACTTCTTCATTCACATAATCAAGTGAGTAGTGGTAGTACTAGTAGTAGTAGTAGTAGTAGTAGTAGTAGTAGTAGTAGTAGTGGTAGTAGTAGTAGTAGTGGTAGTAGTAGTAGTAGTAGTAGTGGTAGTAGTAGTAGTAGCAGTAGTGGTAGTAGTAGCAGTAGTGGTAGTAGTAGTAGTAGCAGTAGTAGTAGTAGTAGTAGTAGTAGTTGTTGTTGTTGTTGTTGTTGTTGTAGTAAAAACTTACTATTGTTGCAGACACTGTAATAGACTTTCTTTCATTCATGTTCTAAATTTAAAAATTACTGCTACTATGGAAACTCAAGGTCTTTTATTTACTATAAAACCCTTGTTTTTCTGTACATAAATGAACCTTGTAGTAAAGTACTTCTCTCATACTCGTGTCTTCTCTCTGGTCTTCAAGTCGTTGAATAGTTCTAGCCTGGGGTTATCAGAATAGCTTAGGATCTGAATATAGCGTTCAACCTACTAGATATAACAATTGTCACATTTACATTGTAACGCAAGTTGTACTGTAACATTCGGAAACGTTCACATATATTTATAATGTTTATTGTACTTATCATTGTATTAGTCATTATAATCACTGTACTTTAATTACTGCAACGGTTATCCACAGTTGTGGATTTGTTTAAACGCAACAGTTCCCATATCGTTTGCTCTTGGTTGGAGTTTCGATTGTTCATAAACAGTTGTCCAATTTCGACACAGCTATCGGCTGTCCTTGTACTGTCGAAGCCTTTACTATTTTCATTCTTGAACGACGCGTTCAAACGCCTGGACACCTCACAAGTTGAGGTTTGTAATTAAATTTTGTGTTTTATTTAATGATAGAACCGCTTTTGTAGAAAAATCGTTGTTCTTGGAACTTCGATTTTGTGCGTATCTCAATCAGGTCACTTGGACGCATCGATAGACTGATCAACAATAAAAGTAATTTGGTCATTTCTTCAAATGAACAATTCCAACATATTCATGATCAGAACATAATTATTATTGAGTGATGATTGAATAGCAGCAGATGTTAGGATGGATGTCTTTTTGAATTGTAAAACTGCTGCTATGTAGTTGGAGACGAGAAGATTTTGAAGGCGATTCGGTGAGAGAGAGAGAGAGATAGACTATGATTTGTGGACGACCAAGTTTTGAGTGACGAGGCTAAAGTGACCATGAGAACAATGTCCACCTACTTACTACGGCTAAATAAGGCTTATAAAGAAGTGTGAAGAATAGAATAAAGAGCATGATTTATAGTTGATGTTATCAGGTTTACCATTCACATTTATGGTTTTCATCACAAACTCACAGACATCCACACACACACACACACACCAGTTAGAATGGTCAAATGCTATTTAGACAAACAAGTGGGTGAAATTTGCGCCTTGAAATCCGAGACATGTTATCCTAAATCGGGTTGTTTCATCCATCCATAAATCATAGTGAGCCCTGGTACGGCTGAGAGTGGGGAGAGTCCTCTCTCCTTCTCCAAATGCTCTCACATGGCCACGCGTATATAGATAGCCTCTGTCAGGGAAGTCCTACTCACTGCCATCTCACAGTGGCATTATTGTTGTTTATCAAATTGAGAGGACGAAAATCCAATGTACGGCGCTTTAACCGGGTTGGTGGACACGGAATGTTCACCTAGGTGAGTTGGAAATCCCTGATTCCAAAGCAATGTTGCACATGGAGTGACTGCAGTATCCAGTATGCTGAGGGGACAAATGGCGTGTGAATCAATGGTTGGTGACCGGCTACCATGGGACTGCATCTGCTCACGATGCTCCTGCACTACCCTGTGGATCACACGTCTAGGTGAAAGGCGGCTCCGGGTGTGACCCCCTAGGGAAACCACCTGTTTCGGTTCGGGCACCTGGACACTATCACAGCCCTCACACAAATCAAATGAGATTTCTGTTGTGCATATATATCTGGTGCCCCCTTGTACCAATATTTATGTGTTTATGTGTTTAAGGAGGTAATTGTGTTGAATTGGGTAACAATGTATGATATAATAGCGTGTTTGGCATACGAAAGAACGATGAGTGTTTTGTGGTGTGCTACTGATACCCTCATCAGTAGTATGTATGATGAATGAAAATTGTGCAATGCTGTTGTCAGAGAGGATTCGAACCCATAACCTACGGCCTTGTGCCCGAATGCCAAGTCTCTACACCAATCAGCCAGTACCACTCACTCTTGCACATCTCAAAATACATATTCGAACTTTCATTCGATCATGCATCAATCAACCATTCAGCATTCTGCTTCGCTTACACATTATTCTCACTCACTAATCAAACTCAACTAACATGCATGTCCAACAACTGCACACCAAAACAACAACACCATCAAATTCAACTCAATTCATTATTCATCACCATTTATCTATCTATCTATCTAATCATAGAACAACAATTACCATTCAATTCGATCCAATTCAACTTCTTCATTCACATAATCAAGTGAGTAGTGGTAGTACTAGTAGTAGTAGTAGTAGTAGTAGTAGTAGTAGTAGTAGTAGTAGTAGTGGTAGTAGTAGTAGTAGTAGTAGTAGTAGTAGTAGTAGTGGTAGTAGTAGTAGTAGCAGTAGTGGTAGTAGTAGTAGTAGCAGTAGTGGTAGTAGTAGTAGTAGCAGTAGTGGTAGTAGTAGTAGTAGTAGTAGTAGTTGTTGTTGTTGTTGTAGTAAAAACTTACTATTGTTGCAGACACTGTAATAGACTTTCTTTCATTCATGTTCTAAATTTAAAAATTACTGCTACTATGGAAACTCAAGGTCTTTTATTTACTATAAAACCCCTGTTTTTCTGTACATAAATGAACCTTGTAGTAAAGTACTTCTCTCATACTCGTGTCTTCTCTCTGGTCTTCAAGTCGTTGAATAGTTCTAGCCTGGGGTTATCAGAATAGCTTAGGATCTGAATATAGCGTTCAACCTACTAGATATAACAATTGTCACATTTACATTGTAACGCAAGTTGTACTGTAACATTCGGAAACGTTCACATATATTTATAATGTTTATTGTACTTATCATTGTATTAGTCATTATAATCACTGTACTTTAATTACTGCAACGGTTATCCACAGTTGTGGATTTGTTTAAACGCAACAGTTCCCATATCGTTTGCTCTTGGTTGGAGTTTCGATTGTTCATAAACAGTTGTCCAATTTCGACACAGCTATCGGCTGTCCTTGTACTGTCGAAGCCTTTACTATTTTCATTCTTGAACGACGCGTTCAAACGCCTGGACACCTCACAAGTTGAGGTTTGTAATTAAATTTTGTGTTTTATATAATGATAGAACCGCTTTTGTAGAAAAATCGTTGTTCTTGGAACTTCGATTTTGTGCGTATCTCAATCAGGTCACTTGGACGCATCGATAGACTGATCAACAATAAAAGTAATTTGGTCATTTCTTCAAATGAACAATTCCAACATATTCATGATCAGAACATAATTATTATTGAGTGATGATTGAATAGCAGCAGATGTTAGGATGGATGTCTTTTTGAATTGTAAAACTGCTGCTATGTAGTTGGAGACGAGAAGATTTTGAAGGCGATTCGGTGAGAGAGAGAGAGAGATAGACTATGATTTGTGGACGACCAAGTTTTGAGTGACGAGGCTAAAGTGACCATGAGAACAATGTCCACCTACTTACTACGGCTAAATAAGGCTTATAAAGAAGTGTGAAGAATAGAATAAAGAGTATGATTTATAGTTGATGTTATCAGGTTTACCATTCACATTTATGGTTTTCATTACAAACTCACAGACATCCACACACACACACACACACCAGTTAGAATGGTCAAATGCTATTTAGACAAACAAGTGGGTGAAATTTGCGCCTTGAAATCCGAGACATGTTATCCTAAATCGGGTTGTTTCATCCATCCATAAATCATAGTGAGCCCTGGTACGGCTGAGAGTGGGGAGAGTCCTCTCTCCTTCTCCAAATGCTCTCACATGGCCACGCGTATATAGATAGCCTCTGTCAGGGAAGTCCTACTCACTGCCATCTCACAGTGGCATTATTGTTGTTTATCAAATTGAGAGGACGAAAATCCAATGTACGGCGCTTTAACCGGGTTGGTGGACACGGAATGTTCACCTAGGTGAGTTGGAAATCCCTGATTCCAAAGCAATGTTGCACATGGAGTGGCTGCAGTATCCAGTATGCTGAGGGGACAAATGGCGTGTGAATCAATGGTTGGTGACCGGCTACCATGGGACTGCATCTGCTCACGATGCTCCTGCACTACCCTGTGGATCACACGTCTAGGTGAAAGGCGGCTCCGGGTGTGACCCCCTAGGGAAACCACCTGTTTCGGTTCGGGCACCTGGACACTATCACAGCCCTCACACAAATCAAATGAGATTTCTGTTGTGCATATATATTTGGTGCCCCCTTGTACCAATTTTTATGTGTTTATGTGTTTAAGGAGGTAATTGTGTTGAATTAGGGAACAATGTATGATATAATAGCGTGTTTAGCATACGAAAGAACGATGTGTTTTGTGGTGTGCTACTGACACCCTCATCAGTAGTATGTATGATGAATGAAAATTGTGCAATGCTGTTGTCAGAGAGGATTCGAACCCACAACCTACGGCCTTGTGCCCGAATGCCAAGTCCCTACACCAATCAGCCAGTACCACTCACTCCTACACATCTCAAAATACATATTCGAACTTTCATTCGATCATGCATCAATCAACCATTCAGCATTCTGCTTCGCTTACACATTATTCTCACTCACTAATCAAACTCAACTAACATGCATGTCCAACAACTGCACACCAAAACAACAACACCATCAAATTCAACTCAATTCATTGTTCATCACCATTCATCTATCTATCTATCTAATCATAGAACAACAATTACCATTCAATTCGATCCAATTCAACTTCTTCATTCACATAATCAAGTGAGTAGTGGTAGTACTAGTAGTAGTAGTAGTAGTAGTAGTAGTAGTAGTAGTAGTAGTAGTAGTGGTAGTAGTAGTAGTAGTAGTAGTAGTAGTGGTAGTAGTAGTAGTAGTAGTAGTAGTGGTAGTAGTAGTAGTAGCAGTAGTGGTAGTAGTAGTAGTAGCAGTAGTGGTAGTAGTAGTAGTAGTAGTAGTTGTTGTTGTTGTTGTTGTAGTAAAAACTTACTATTGTTGCAGACACTGTAATAGACTTTCTTTCATTCATGTTCTAAATTTAAAAA